TGCCCGGAGCTGGACACTGTATGTAAAAGGGGTACTGACTAACCAGTTCCATCTTCCCAGAGGTCACCTACCAGGGAGGTAGGTAAATGGGTATCTAGTGATTTGGGGGTGGTTGTATCTAGAAGGTTGTCTATTTAAACTGAATGAGGCCAGGGAGCATTTAGGATTTCTGAGGGAAAGGAGCTGGAGAGAGGTAGTCACACCCAGACCAACCACAGGGCCTTGCAGGAGGACTGTAGATTCAGAGCTTGGGTGTGTGTGTGTGTGTGTGTGTGTGTGTGTGTGTGTGTGTGTGTGTGTGTGTGAACGAGGTCCCTGGAGCCTCATGGCCCCTCTCTTGCCCCATTGTGCTGCCAGGAGCCGCTCCCGCTCAGGGGACTGGTACAGGCGGGGCGGCCGGGGCCCCAGGCACCACAGCAGTAGCCGCAGCCGCAGCAGCTGGTCCCTCAGCCCATCCCGAAGTCGCAGTCTGACTCGGAGCCGCAGCCCCAGCCAGAGCCAGAGCCGAAGCCGCAGCCGCAGCTGTAGCCGAAGCCGTAGCCAGAGTCACTCATCTTCACCCCCGAGGGAGAAGCTGACCAGGCCGGCGTCGTCCCCCGCGGTGGGCGAGAAGCTGAAAAAGTGAGCAGGGGCAGGGCTGTGGGAAGAAGATTGACAGCCTGAGATGGGGAATGAACTTGGCTGTTTTGGTTTTGAACTTGCCTCTGTCCTGGGAGGTGTGAGGGAGCATGGTCCTGACCTGGGAGGGTGGGTCTGAGGAGTCAGGGCCTTGCCTAGGATGATGGGTCAGAGGGGTCCTATCCTGAGGGATCTGAGAGGGACAGGGTATCCCCTGGGGTCACCTGAGACCCATGGCCTTAACTCTGGTCTGAGGGCAGTGTTGAGGCTGTAAGGAGTCAGAGATGGCAGGTGTTCTTTCCTCCTCCCAGGACCGAACCTGCCGCTGGTAAAGAGACAGGAGCTGCCAAAGTCAGTAAGAATTTGGAACTCGCCCGTCTAACTCCCGCCAGCAGCAGTGCCCGAGTGCTGGGCCCGGTGGGCCTGCAGGGGGGCCCGGGTGGGCCGGGAGACCCAGCCCTGGGGATTGAGGGGGACTGGAAGGGTTCTGTCCCCATGAAATCCATGTCCCCTTCTCACTCCTCACTGGGGCTCAGTCTCCCCTGGACCTCCAGACCTTCCTGGCAGGTGTCCATAGCTTGCTCTTCCCCACATGCCCCCAAAAGTTCCAGGCTCAATGAGGTGGGTTGTGGGAACTCCGGGACACCCACCCCCTCTCCCTCCTCTCTTCCCCCTCCCCCAGCCCAAGCTGACGCCGCAGGAGAAGCTGAAGTTGAGGATGCAGAAGGCACTGAACAGACAGTGTATGTACCCCTCTGTCCCTCAAGTCTGCCTTGCTCCCCCTCCTTCCAGCCTGGCCTTTGGGGAGGAGTGGGTATGCACACTGCTTTGCTGCCATCATGCTAAGGGCCTTGGTAGACTGGTTGACCATCTGAACTTGGAGGCCTACCAAGCCACTGTGTCCCTCTCTCCCACAGTCAAGGCGGATAAGAAGGCCGCTCAGGAGAAGATGATACAACAGGAGCATGAACGGCAGGTAAGGGTAAAGTGAGAGATGGGGCTCGGCGGGTGCCAGCTGGGCCAGCCCTCACTGCCATTTCTGCCTCAGGAGCGGGAAGATGAGCTTCGCGCTATGGCCCGGAAGATCCGTATGAAGTAAGACTTCTACTCCCTGTATCAGGGCCCCAGCCACCTCCTCCTGGGAAGCCCCCATTTCCTTGGTTCCCTGCCACCCTGCTCTGAGCTATAGCCCTGTGTCCTCCCTGCATCCCCAGCTTATTGCAGCCACTGGGACCCTGCTCCACCGGCTCCCAGCTCCCATTTCCGTTCCCCAGATCCTCACCTGGTTCCCTCCCTCGGTCCACTGGGGGAATCTCCTCCCTGACTATCCTGTCTAGAGTAGCACCCCCAAATGCTCCGAGCTCCAAGCTCCAATCCTGCTGTGTGCTTCATAACACTAACCCTCACCTGTGTGCAGTCTGTTTGGTGTGCTTGCTTGTTATCCGTGTCCCCACTGAGATGCCAGGTCTGGTGCTGTGTGTTCAGCCCCCAGAACACGGAGATGGTGCTCTTTGTGGCAGGGCTGAACTGCAGCCAGCCCCGTGGCTGGTCTGCCCAGTGCGGGAGACAGCTTCTCTCCTGTCCCCTCTGCTTCTCTTCTCGTTTTGTGTCTTCCACTGCAGAGTTGAGAGCCAGCTCTGTCTCTGTGTGACCCTCACAGGCTAGCTCAGGGATTAGTGCCCACAAGGCCTCAGGCCCTGCCTCCCCACCCCACCCCCCAGCCACACTGGAGGCCGTAGTGCTCCGTATTAGCAAGGAGGAAAGGCAGTCAGTGGCAGGACCTTGTCTGCTAGCAGTTCTGGTTTCACTCTGTACTTGCTGTGGTCCTTGGACAAGTAACTTGACCCTCTGAGCCGGGACTCCTTCCTCTGAGACAGACATACTAATGCCCCTGAGAGGCTCTCATTGTGGTGCCTGGCACATGGAAAGGCCCAAATGCCGTTAGTGGTCATTGTTGACATCACTATTTCACACCCTTTGTGTGTTGGGTTTTCGAGGATGCTGTGTGCTTCCATTAGGAGGCAGAATGCCAGAGGACTCGGTTTCATCCTGGGTCAGACCTGGGTTCTGATCCTGCCTCGTCCACCAGCTATGGGCCTTTCTCTTGTTTGAGTCTTAATTTGCTCAGCTACTTAAATAGGGAGGAAAAGTTGTCCCACCTCAGCCAGGAGAAATGTCGCCCTAAGGATTGCAAATCCCAGCCATTCTGTGGAACACCAATTAAGCACTTCGCATGGAAGTCCCTGTGTCTGTGACTGCATGGAGTGGGACAGGACATGATTGAACTAGGCAGCCCTCCTTTCTGTTTGTTCAGCGAACCTCTCAGAGCGAGGCTGACTAGGGTTGGAGTCCGGCCTCTGCCCAGCAAGCAAGCATCCCCTCTGAGCTCTGGCCTCGTTTTCCGTGAGGGGAGGCTGCTCTTCCACTGTGACTGGGATGTGAAGCACTTGCCCTGGGCAGGTGCCCCAGTGCTCCTGAGGTCGGTGTTCTGGGCAGCATATTCACCCCTCCCTGGGTCGCCGCCCTTCCCCTGCAGGGAACGGGAACGCCGAGAGAAGGAGAGAGAAGAATGGGAGCGCCAGTACAGCCGGCAGAGCCGCTCTCCCTCCCCCCGTTACAGTGAGTGTCCGTGGCCACCAGGCCGGGAGATGTGGGTGCAGGCTCTGGGGCATTAAAAAAAGAAGCGGGTTGTCTCAGCAGATAGAGCCTGGGGACCAAAAGGTCCCAGGTTCGATTCTGGTCATTGGCACGGTCACAGGCACATTGCAGGCTCCTCCTTAGCCAGCCTGGTAGAGGCTCCTGCAGGAGGCAACCAGTTGATGTGTTTCTCTCACATCGATGTTTCTCTTGGTCTTTCCCTTTCTTTTCCACCCTCCCTAAAAATCAATGGGAAAATATCCTCAGATGAAGAGTAACAAAAACAAAAAGAAGTGTCCTGACCTGAATGGCTCAGTTTTCTGAGTGTCAATCTATGAACCGGGAGGTCATGGTTTGATTGCAGGTCAGGGCACATGCCTGGGTTGCAGGCTTGAGCCTCAGTGCGGGGGTATACAGGGGGCAGCCAGTCAATGATTCTCATCATTGATGTTTCTCCTTTTTCCTTCCTCTCTGAAATCAATACAAATACATTTTTTAAAAAGTGATGTCAAAATGGAATATAAAAAAACCATGGTACATTCTCACGTTAGTCTTCTACGTAAAAACTCTTAAGATGCGTGCGTGCACACATGCAGGCATGCACACAGTGTTGCTTCAGTCGAGGGGTCTGCAGGACGGGAAGAAACGCTTGTTGGTGTAGGTGGGCGCACAGGGTGTAGTCCCAGCAGTGGACATGCTGGTGTAGCATCAGCGGAAGGTGACACCATAAGTCCAGCCCGGGGCCCATTCCTGGCCCTGGGCGTCTGCTTTGTCCTCACCTCCTCCTTCCTTCCTAGGTCGAGAGTACAGCTCTTCCCGAAGGTAAGCCAGACCAGCTGCCTGGGGGGTCATAGTTGTCCTGTGCGGGAGGTCTGGCTGCGTTTGATCATCCATTCCCACCCTGCACCCTCCAGTGGTAGGGCTGCCTCCCTCTGCAGCTACTGAAGCCCAAGTGGTCCCTGAGTGTGCTGGTGCATGTGTGTACATGTACACGCACGCACAGGGCTCCCCTGCTCTGCCTAGCCCTCACGGCCCCTCCCTTTCTCTTTCCCAGGCGCTCAAGGTCCAGATCCCGCAGCCCCCATTATCGACATTAGGCCGAAGTGTGGGGGGTGAGAGGCTGGGATGAGTAAGGGCTCAGGCTGTGATGCTGCTGGTTTTGTTCTCTAATGAAATAAATGTTATTTAATTCCCTTCACTTGGCCTCAGTGTCATCTGTGCTGGGTGCAGGCTCCCAAACTCCATTGTCCACCAGCCAGCCATGGGGGGAAGGGGAAGCTTCCTGGGAGTGGGGGGTCAGGTGCCAGTGTTGCCTGTGTAAGAAGCCCGACTGCATCTGTGCCCGCGGCCCAGTGAGGGTAGGGGCTCCATCCAGTAGGAAAAGGGCCCAGCACCCACATGTGGAGGATGGGCCAGGACTTTGCCCAGGGCCTCTGGTGACAGGTCCAGGCCTCTCCCTGCCCTCGCCCACATCGGGAACCGGGAGCACAGCTTTCTGTGCCAGTCCTGCCGAGCCACAGGCACTGGGGGCCGGTCTTTCCCTCACCCCCTCATTCCAAACCGGTCTGTCCAGCCGTCCACCCCAAGGAGGGAAAGCCTCCTGCCCCACCTCAGATGCCCCAAGAAAGCGAAGTCCACACGTGTATAAACTACAGGGAGGGAGGGTTTATTCACAGCAGGATACAATCAACAGATACGGTGGCAGTGGCACCAGGGACACCAGGGGGGAAGGGCATGCCTGCCACTCAGGCCTCCCCACCTGCTTGGGGGTGCTTCTGCCGCAGGTGTTTGTCCAGGGTGGCCCGCAGGCCGAAGGGCACAAGGCAGTGGGGGCATTCGAAGCGGGCACCGTCGGGCCCCATACCATGCATGCGACGGTGGCGATTCAGCTTGCTGCTCTGGGCACAGGCGTAGGGGCAGAGATCGCAGGTGTAGGGCCGCTCCCCGGTGTGTGAGCGCCGGTGCACAGTCAGGTTGCTGCTATTGGTGAAATGTTTCCCACAGAACTCACATCTGCCCCCGGGCCCGTGGCTCTTGCCCACTGTCTTTGGAGTCTTCTTGGGTAACTTCTCTGGGATCTGGGCAGAGTTGATTCTCTCTTCGTTCGTGGCAGCTCCCCAGCTGTCCCCACCAGGACCAGCCTGAGCTCCACCACCTGGAGCCCCAGGTTCCTGCACACCTGCAGTGTCAGCAGCTCCAGTGCCTTCCCGGCTGCACAGGAAAGTCCTGGCTGGGGCAGCGGCATGGGCGGCTGGCTCTGGAGGGGCAGCTGAGGCCTGATCGGGACTGGCGTTGGCCGTGTGGGGGCTCTGAGACTGCAGCTGCTGGTGGGTCTTCTTGTGGCGGTTGAGCTTGCTGCTCTGGGCACAGGCGTAAGGACACTGGTCACAGGCATAGGGCCGCTCGCCTGTGTGCGAGCGCATGTGCACCTTGAGGTTGCTGAAGGAGCTGAGGGTCTTCATGCACACGGGGCAGGTGGGGGTCCGCCGGGGGAGGCTATTTGCCCGGGAGTTCTTGGCCTCCACTTCCTGCCCCACCACCGCTGACATGGCTGCGGCCACCTCTGCCAGGCCCAGCAGGGGAGTCTCTGGGGCCTCAGATTCTGTCTGGTAGATGGACAGTCCATGGTCCCACTGGGCATGGCGCAGCAGTTTCCAGGCCCTGGTGAATTGTCGGCCACAGCGGAGGCAAATCAAGGTCTTCAGGTTCTCGAGTTCTGCAGAGAAGGGCTGGGTGTTAGTGTGAAGGGTAAAAGGCACAGCGGTTGCGGGTCACAGCTTACCAGATGGACACATTCTGTGGGAAAGGCTATGTTCTAGGGCCCCAGAATGACAAGAGGACAGGGAAGCCCCTGCCCTCAGGAAGCTGGTGTTCAGGGAGGCGGGGTAGATGGACAAGAAGCAAGGAAAATCTGGAGTGGACAATGAGTATGCAAGGGATCCTTCTGTGCTTGAAAAATCATTAAGATGCCCTCCCAGCCAGGTAGCTCAATTGGATAGAGCATCATCCCCATACACCCAAGGTTGCGGGTTCAGTCCCCAGTCAGAGCACATATAAAAAGCAACCAATGAATGCATAAGAAAGTGGTACAAACCAACTTTAAAAGAAAGGAAATCTTTGTGAAAAAGTTAAAAACAAAAAGAGTGAGGGCCGGGGAGTACTATTTCATATTAGGGGATCAAGAAGGCCTTGCTCAAAGTGACCAGTGTGATAGCCCTAGCTGGGCTGCTCAGTGGATAGAGCATTGGCATTCCGGTCAAAGGCATGTACCTGGAAGGGCACATGCAGGAGACAACCAATGTGTCTCTCACATGGATGTTTCTCTCCCCCTTCTCCCTTCCACACTCTAAAAATCCATGGGAAAATATCTTCAGGTGATGATTAACAAAAAACACACAAAAAAATTAAAATCAATAAAAACGTATTTTATAAGAACCTCTGAGCCTGTTTTCACATTTGCTAGAATATGGGGATCCTCTCCGTTTTAGGGTTGCTGTGACCTCAAATGGGGAACCAATGAAAGTTTGGGTCCATGTAATCTCTCAGTAAACATTAGCTGAGCTGAGTCCACAATCCTCCACGAGTCTCAGTGTCTTATTCCAATAATCCCATCACAGCCCCTCCCTGCTCCCACTCAAATCACAGCTCTTTAGGACCCTCCCTGTGGCCCAGCCCTGGAGAAAATCTGTTTATAGGCTGGAAGCTGAAAATCACGTCTAGCGCCACGGTAAGGGTTTAATTCCATCCCAAGAGAAGGAACCCAGGTGCCCCGGCAGGAGGACCTGGTTCAAACCAGGGGCTTCCCAGCAAGCAGGACTGGGAGATTCCAGGGGAGGGGGCCACACCAACTACCCTTCCAGCTGGCCTCAGGCCACCCCTCCCCCAGACCACCGCCCTCCCCAGGGTCCCCCCCGACTGCCATGCTGGTCCAGCCACCTGGCCAGTTATTTCTGGCCAAGGGGAAGGAGAAGTGAAACCAGATTGGGGGGGCGTGTGTGGCAAGTCCCCAGACCAGTCTTCTGGGGCTGGCCACACCCAGTGGGCCATCCTCCTTCCCTGCCCAGCCCTGCCCCCACCCCTCTCACCACCACTAGTCCCAGCCCTAGGACAGGGCAGGCCCTGGCCACGCCTAGGCTACACCCGACGGGGGAGCCAGAAAGGGGAAGTGCTGCTCACTGCCCCGCCTGTCCAGCTCAGCCCCTGCTCCCACAGGAAGCCGGGCCCGTGAACCTGAGAGGGGGTTGCATCCCGACCCGACTTTACTCACCTGAGTCCGGGCAAGGGCTGGGGCCTCGGTAGGGCTGACAGCCCAGCTTCTTGTGGTCCATGAAGGCGGTGATGGCCTTCAGCGGGAAGGTCTGCAGGCAGAGGCCGCAGGTCAACGTGTCTGGGTGTTTGTCGGTCCAGGGCTGGCGGTCTGCAGGGAGGAAGCGGGTGGTGAGCATGGGGTGGGGCCAGCACAGGCCGGGGGTTCCGAGGGCGAGGGGAAACCCGGAGGTGAGAAGGGAGCCAGGACCCGGCCACGGAGACACGGCAGGGGCCGGGGACGTGGAGCGGAGCCGGCGGAGGGCGTCCCACCGAGAGTGAAAGAAAGGCGAGGGCAGTGGGGCCCGGCACGGGGGATGGGGGGGTTCTTACCGTGAGGACCAGGGACCTGAGAGGTCCACGGCGCCGCCAGGTTCCGCGAGCCGAGGGCGAGGAGGGTCCCGGCGGCGGGCAGCAGGCTGGGGCAGCAGCGGGGTTCGCCCCCGGGCCGGCCCGGCGCCGGCCCCTCCTTGGAGGCGCGCGGCTGCAGCCCCGCGGCCTGCGGGGACCACGAGCGGGGCTCGGGCTTCACGTCGATGACCAGCTCCCGCATCTCGGGCTCGTCGTCCGAGGCCGCGGCGGCGGGCTCCGGGTCTACTCGGCGGGGCGCGCAGCCGGCCTTGCGGCGGGACATGGGTCGCGGTCCGGGCGGGCGGGCGGGCGGGCGGCGCGCGGCGTGTGCTCTCGGCGGAGACGCTCAGGTGAGTGGCGGCGGCGGCGACTGGCCGCGAACCTTTACACGTGCTGGCCCGGCCGTGGCCCCGCCCCCGGGGCGGGGCCTGGGAGGGGAGGGGGCGGCCCGCAGGGGCCCTGCCGGAGTCCCAACCGCCGTGCCCGCTGGATTTGGCTTAATCTGACTACACCTAAGGACACCCAGTTCTCACGGCCGGCGCGGAGACGGCTGCTTCATTTTTTATTATTTTTTTTAATATATATATCTTATTGATTTTTCACAGAGAGGAAGGGAGAGGGATAGAGAGCCAGAAACATCAATAAGAGAGACACATCGGCCGAAACCGGTTTCGCTCAATGGATAGAGCGTCGGCTTGGGGACTGAGAGATCCCGGGTTCGATTCCGGTCAAGGGCATGTACCTTGGTTGTGGGCATATCCCCGGTGGGGGATGTGCAAGAGGCAGCTGATCAATGACTCTCTTTCATCGATGTTTCTAGCTCTCTATCTCTCTCCCTTCCTCTCTGTACAAAATCAATAAAAATATATATTTTTTTAAAAAAAGAGACACATCGATCAGCTGCCTCCTGCACCCCCCGCCCCCCACTGGGGATGTGCCCGAAACCAAGGTACATGCCCTTGACCGGAATCGAACCTGGGACCACTCAGTCCACAGACCTACGCTCTATCCAGAGCCAAACCGGTTTCGGCGAGACGGCTATTTCAGAGCCCGTTTCTGGGCGGGTGAAACTGAGGCCCGGCATCCCCACCAACACCCAGGAGAGGGAAAAGGGTAGGGGCCGTGTTTCTCACTATTCCCCTAACAGTCTCTTGGACTCTTTTCAGTAAATACACAATAAAAACTCACTGGGCAAACCTTTATTGAGTGCCTGTTGGGCACCAGGTACAGTATCCCCTAAGAACTTGGGGGTCCTGTGGCGAACCCAACAGACAATAATCCCTGGCCCCCCGAGTTTACTGGTTCAGGGAGACTACGCTGAACAAGGTAATGATGTAAAATAGAGCGCCTTCCTGGGTGACCAATGTCAACTGGAGCCAAACAAAGCTAGGAAAGGTTATAAAGGGGCAGGGTGACATGGGGGGGGGGGCGCCTCAATTTCCTCCCCACACCAGGGAAAGGTAGGGTGGAGTTGAGGCCTGAGGGATGGGAGGGAGTCAGCCAGTCTGTTCAAGAACAAGAAGGGGGGGACTCTTTCCCCCTCCCCACATGGGAGTCTGTACTTGTTCTTCCATAAATTTCCACCTTTGCTATACAAAATTAACGATATGATAATAATAAATAAATAAAGACAATACAAAGAGGGAGGAGACGGACAGGAGGGGGGTTTGAGCTCCGTGAGAAAATGGAGTCAGCTTTGAGAGGGTCTTCTGACCACTTGAAAGTCTGGATGTTTGGAGAGGTGCGTCTTGGGGGCTTGAGCAAAGAGGATTGTGGTCGTGCACAAACCTACTTTGCTCCTACACCTGGACTAGCCATGAGAGCCAAGTAGCCCTCTGTCCTACCTCTCCCCGCACGGCCTCCTCGAACTTCCCTCCTCAAAGCAGCCCTTTCAGATCGCTGTTTGAAGTGGCATCAACACCCTGCCCCACCCTCCAACCCTTACAAGTTTTCTTTTCTTCCTGACACCAACCACATCACCATACAGAACGGTTTCTAGACTGTCCTCTCCCTTCCCCCACCCTACACAAGGTTTAAAATCAGGGCCGGAGTATGTCCTCCCCCGGGGGCCTAGCACTCAGGCACCGAGTGGATTTCAGGTATTAACCTGGCTGCCTCCCCCCCCCCCCCCCCGCCCCCCGCCCTCCTCCCCACCCCCTGTTCTGCTCCTGTTCCCTCAGGGTCAAGGTTCCTCACATTGTTATGTTATTCAGACCTCCCTCCAGGGTGGCTGAATTGTCCTTCTGAGAGCCAAGGGCCACCTTGACCGAGGTGCCAGTAGCCCCACCCTGCTTAAAGCCTTCTAATCACACTCCATGACCTCCATCTGCCCCTCTTCCCTCCTGGGCCTCGTTTCCCCAGATGTTACCTGAGTTGGTTTCTTCACGGCCAGCTTCTGACCACCCAATTAAAGCAGCTCACCAACATGCCACCCACGGACCACTGCCTCTACTTTCTTCCAGTTACATCACCAGCAAGGCCCGATGCTTTTGTTGAAGCCACTGCTCCTGTATCTTATCTTATTCTGTCCCTCCCGGCCACCCTAGAATGCAGTTATGAGACAGCAGGGGCCCAGTCCGTCTTATGCATAAACAGAGCCCCTGTTCCTCAATACAAAACAGAATATCCATTCTTTCAATAGACATTGGTAGGGCGCCTTCCTGTGCCAGCCATTAAGCCTCGGGGCGCTAGTAGTGAGAAGCAGAGGCTCACCCAGCCCCTGCCTCAGTGAAGCCGTGTGGAAGGGGACTGCCTGGGCCCAGCGCAGCGAGGTTCCTGAGGTCTGCCTGCCAGGGCCTCGGTTTCCTCTGTGAAAAGGGACTGCAGGGAGGGTTGCGGGGCAAAAAGGCTGCCTCGCTTCTTCCAGCTGCTGCTCTCCAAGGCTTTTGATTGTATTTTTGGCTGCTTGAAGCCTAATCTCAAGGTTTCAGGCAGGGGAGGTGGGCTCGGGGCTGGAGGAAAAGGTTAGGCGTGTGCACGTGTAGGGGAAGTGGGGGATGGGGCAGGCACCAAGCTCTGCCTTTACGCGTCTTTGAACCTCAGTATCTTCTTCCACAAAACGACCATCCCGGCCACCCCACCTCGCAGACGGTGGACGAGCTCCGAGCGCCCGCCCCGCCGCCCGCGCCCGGGCCCGGAGCCGCCCGCCCGCGACCACGTGGGGCGGCGGCGGCGGCGGCGGCGGCGGCGGCGGCGGCGGCGGCGGCGGAACGCAGGCTGGCGGCGCGCGGCCCGCCCGGGCCCCTGCGGCGGGGACGCCGGCGGAAGTGGGGCGCCGGCGCGCAGCGCTCGGTGAGTGCGGGGGTTGGTGGGGGAGCGCACCTTCCCGCTCCCCGGCCCCGGCCCGGCCCGGCGCCCACCCGCGGGCCGGCCGGAGGGGCGGGGGAGGCTGGTCCGCGGCGCGGGCTGCGGTGGCGCTGCGGCCCCCGAACGGCCGCTCCGCGGAGTCGGGTTGGAACCCGCGTGCGGGGATGTTCCCGCGCCGGGGTGAGGCGGGGAGCGGGGGTGCGGAGGGGAGCGGGGATGTGAGGTGGGGGTGAGGCGGGGACCGTGGGGGTCCGGGGGTGCGGTGGGGAGCGGGGATGTGAGGTGGGGGTGAGGCGGGGACCGTGGGGGTCCGGGGGGTGCGGCGGGGAGCGGGGATGTGAGGTGGGGGTGCGGTGGGGAGCGGGGATGTGAGGTGGGGGTGCGGTGGGGAGCGGGGATGTGAGGTGGGGGTGCGGTGGGGAGCGGGGATGTGAGGTGGGGGTGCGGTGGGGAGCGGGGATGTGAGGTGGGGGTGCGGTGGAGAGCGTGGGGGTGAGGCGGGGAGTGTGGGGGTGAGGCGGGGAGCATGGGGGTCGGGGGGGTGCGGTGGGGAGCGGGGGGTGCGGCGGGGAGCGTGGGGGTGAGGGTAAGGGCTACCCTGACGGTAATAGTCACAACAGCAGCAGTCAGACCCCCCACATCCCCCGTTTCCAGGGCGGAACCGCCGGCCAAATCCGAGCGGGAGACGGAAGCGTGTCCAGCCCTGGGCGGAGAGGAATGGGGAGTGGACGCCTGGGGGCCGGGAGGACCCACTTAGTATAAGAATGGGAGAGCGATGGGTGGTCAGGGAGGAATTGAAAGGAAACTGACCGGGGAGGGGAGGGGAGGGGAGGGGTCTCGCCCATTGAACTAATCTGCCTCCAGGTGGGCAGCCCGCGGGGCGTGTGGACAGACAGGTCACCTTGGTGAACTCGGTCTGGGGGCCTCTGTTAAACCGGTAACTCAGCTGGTCCCCTCCCCGGCCATTGAAGAGTTTGGCTAGACATGTGTCCCAAGATCTGATCCATTGCCATTTCCTTTTCTTTTCTTTTTTAAAATATATTTTATTGATTTTTTTTTTTTTTTTTTTTTTTTTTTTACAGAGAGGAATAGAGAGTTAGAAACATCGATGAGAGAGAAACATGGATCAGCTGCCTCCTGCACACTCCCTTCTGGGGATGTGCCCGCAACCAAGGTACATGCCCTTGACCGGAATCAAACCTGGGACCCTTGAGTCCGCAGGCTGACGCTCTATCCACTGAGCCAAACCGGTCAGGGCGCCATTTTTTTGAAAGTGAGTCCTGAGGCCCCAAGGAGGGAGGTCTGTGCGTCTCTTGCCCCTATCATTGGCCTCAGTGATGAGATCTGGAGTCAGACGGATTCCTTGGTCAGGTTGTGGGGGATGGGTTTGGACTGGTCCCTGAAACCTGCCTGCAGGAAATCCTTGGCGGGGAGACCAAAAAGGATAAAGGACTCACAGATCTGGTCACCTGGGAGAGTGGATTAATGCCTGCTTTTGTCTTCTTGGGCACAGCCTTTGAGACCTTTCTCAAGCACGTTTCCTCTTTTTTTGCTCTCATTTATTTTCCTTTTTTAATTTTTAAGAATATGTTTGTATTGATTTTTAGAGAGAGGAAAGAGAGGGATAGAGAGATGGAAACAACAATGAGAGAGAAACATTATTGATCCCCACTAGGGGATCTTGCCTGCAACCCAGGCTTGTTCCCTGACCAGGAATCAAACCAGTGACCTCTTGGTTGCTGGGTCGATGCCCATCACCTGAGCCACGCCAGCTGGACTAGTTTCCTTTTTAAAAAAATGTAGGTTTAAAGTCATCCAACATACAGATGTAACTGTGGCTCCTTACATATTTTGTTCTATCTAAAGTTAGGTAGTTTAGCTCTGAGAGGAAAAAAG